CCAGAGCACTCAAGTGAATCCCATGATCTGCTTTTATGGTTGGGAGACGTTTAATAGCACGAGAATAATCTAATGGAGAGAGAGAAAGGAGAGGAGAATGAGTGAAACAGATTAATAAAGATGTCTCCCTCTTTGTATTCATACTTCATAGCTTATAATATATTCCTTTTTGTAAGTCATTAGGCTATTTGAAGCACCAGTAGTGCATCATTGATTAATTTGCTTGTTGTTGGCCTCTTTGCTTTGTGTATGTGCTGTAACATAGTATCTATGGCTGTAATAATACTTGATATTTCTATGGGTTTTGTTTCCCTGTTGGGCAGTCTTTTCATGTATACAGTTACATTACAGATTAAATATACATGTAAAAATCTTTTGTGTTCCATGCTATAATATATTGCACTCTAGTGATTGCAGGCTTTCATGATGTCAAGTAGATGTTTTATGAACTAAACCCAAACAAACAGTGTTGATAAACATACATGTAGTGTGAACTATGGACCTACTGTAGGCTATAGGCATTAGTCTCCTTGCAGTTAGTAATCACATTAATATTGAGTGATGCATTGCAATGGAATAAATGAATTAGGAAATGAACAATGAGAGAGGAAGTGAGAGTGAAAGAAAGAGGGAGAGCGAGAAGGAGAAGGAGAATTACAACATACCAGTAGCACTGCCACTCTCAGGTAATCTCTCTCCAGGAAACAATGGGAAAGGATCCTAAAGTAAATGACAAGAACATTAACATGTAAGGAGTTAATCTACAAGACTGAAGCAATAGACTTTATTAGACTACCGTATAGCGGGTATATTCCATTCGAGTTTAATTTTGTTCTTTTCGTTCTCATTCCTTGTGGAACAAACATTTTCCAAACGAAAAGGGTGTTTCCTCAATGCCACGTGTGCAAAATGGCTGCTCAGAACGAAAATAAAACAAACAAAAATTTCTAATCCTGCTTAGAACGAACATTTTTCCAGACAAAATATACCCGCTATACGGTACAATGAGAAGATTAACATAATGTTATGAAGCAATGACAATTAATAGGAAGCATGTGTTGTGTCTACAAGGCACAAGCAGTCAGGGGGAATTCCCTAACCCATAATGAGCTACTTGAGGCTGCATGCCTTCATTGTCATGTCATGGTCAGAGAAATGAAGATGAGTTACTTCATCATTAATATTCTAATAACCTTCTCTTATACTGCAGGACAAGTCTTTCAAGGACATTTCTGTCTTACCTTGCAGAGCTATACTATAATAATATACTACTCAACTTTGACTTCACTTAAAGGCAGCAATTGAAAATACAAAATGCTCAAACTGACCAATAGTTACAGATAAAAAATCAAAATGCAAGAATTAAGAATGCAAAAAGTAAAGCTGCAATCTCTTGTTAATTAAAGGGGCTTATCCCCTAAGAGAATGCCCATCGCCCATAAGTAGCAGTAATTATTATCGTTTTAACTAAATAATACTTTACCAAATAAGGAAGGTGATACTAGCCACACTAATGACACTATCCACTAAATATATAATTACATCTAGAGGCAGCTGAAGATGATCATGGTTCCAAATAATGAAATGAAAAGGTTAAGAAATAATCACCAACACTTCAATAAACTTGTTATGGTTCATAACCAGCAGCAATAAGTAA